TCTCTCTCTCTCTCTCTCTCTCTCTCTCTCTCTCTCTCTCTCTCTCTCTCTCTCTCTCTCTCTCTCTCTCTCTCTCTCTCTGAACTACCTTTGGGGAAATGAAGGAGTGCTCTCACTTTACTTCGTATGTCTAAAGCGAGTAAAGGCGATAGCCGGAGAAACCCGACCAATAGGTTGTGTGTTTTCGATCATCACATTTGTTGGATTAACGATGAATAATTGAGACCGACCCTTGTGATTGATTGGACTGCCATGTGGACTGATGGCCTCAACCTGACTGGGCGTCGGCCTGTCATATCCCCGGCACATCCCTTCCCGTACAACGAGAAAAGGACACATGTATGCGAGTGGGACATACGAGAAGTCGTCGCTAAGATCGGCGACCGATACTATTTCCTTCCCGAAACTCAGTGCTCAGGGTTTGTTGGTGCTGACTTTGTTATTATTGATACGCATTTTCCGCCTTATTCGCTGCTATTGTCGTTTAATGAGTTGATCGTCATTCCGTGGACGGCAGTGGCACCCCATTGGCCTAACACTCTGTGCAGCGATTGTTGTTGCTTCGAGCGTTACCAATCAAAAGGCTTCCACTACCGAGTACGGTGTGAGGACGAGCATAAGGAACGAGCTACGCGGCTGAGACCCTCCACGTTAGATGCTGAGTTATGCAATGAGCGGCGTCGGGACTTGATCCGAAAGCGAGACACTAAGTGCGTACCCGCTCCCTTTCACGCGAAGCGAAGAGCAACGGCTCGATGGGAAGTTCAACGATACTTTTTGGATTGAACTTCCCCGCGCTGAACGTCTCGCGCGCGCCTTTTTCTCCCTCGAAACCTGCACAGTGACGGACCCTCCCCCTTCTTACTAAGTCAGATCGACACAGGGGATTTCGGCTCTGTCTGTGTCCCCACACTCAATTTTCCAAAAATCCTTGGCACACCCCATCTCACTGTCTTTCTGGGCCCCTTCCGCAATTTAAACGCTCCGAACGGAAGACAGCGCAGGGTGTGAGGTTGTGCGTCACAGATACCCCTTTGCA